AGTGTTTGAGTTTTAGGATGTGTTGGGCATGTTTCGAACAGGTAGATTGAGTTTTGATCTCTAGTGTTGTTGCCCAGAATTTTAGTGTTCCGCTCGAGCGGGTCATTCTGCGCTCGAGCGTAGTTTGGTTTTTGGTTGTCCGCTCGAGCGGGTCTTCTTGAGCTCGAGCGGGGTTTACACACTTCCAGTATTTCGTGGCCCTGCAAAACTTCTGCAGGTGTGTTTTCTACGCTCAAGCGGGTTTCTTGCGCTCGAGCGAGTCGCGTTCGAGCGGGATTATTGGAGCTCGAGCGGACTGGTTCTTCAGGCTCGAGCGGATGTGTTTTGCTTTTGTTTCTTGGCAATCGAGCGGTCATCCTTACGCTCGAGCGGTGCCAGATATTTGTGCTTGACGCTCGAGCGTTCTATTCTCAGCTCGAGCGGGTCGTGCGTATATGAGTTATCTGCTGGGTGATTTTAAATCACTTTTCACTTTTCTTTCTCTCTCCTACTTTTTCAAAAACCCATTTTTGAGAGCTCCTCTCTGTAGAATCTCCCTTCTCTCTAGGGTTTGATCTAGCTAGGGTGTTCTCCTTACCTTTGGTCTTTGTAAAAGTTGGGTTGATCGTCACAGGCTATCTTTTGATCTGAAAATATTGAGTTTTGGAGCACGTTGAGTTTCTTCGTCTTCTCCGTTGAGTGTCATCTTTTGAGGTAGGGATATCCTACTCTTCCTTATGGATTTTGTCTTTAAATTTTAGCATTTTGATATGTTGGGTGTTGTTGGGTAGATTTGAAAAAGTTTGGGCCTTTTGTGTAATTTTACAAAAGTTGGGGTTTTGTTTGGAATAAACCTATGTGCAAGTTTGGTATAAAATAAAAAAATGAGTTGGGTGATGGATTGTGGATGAAAATGGAACCTTAGAGTTGTTTTGTTAATTAAGGTAATTTGCCCTAATTGTTTTAATTAATTAATGTCGATAATTGATTAAAGGAAATGAGGAATTGAATTGGAAATGTTGAAATTGGGAATGTATGGGACTAAAGAGTGTAGCCGAATCTTTTATTGCTCATCTAGTTGAAATGTTGATATATTATCCATTTGTGCATTTATTTCCTGTTTAGAAATAATTGCTTTGGGCTACCGGTGGAGGGTAGTATTGATTGTTGTAGACAATGCACGATGATTAGGCAAACTAAAACTAATCAATCGGATGTGTCATAGAGTATGACGGTTGATAGAATACATTAACTTTATGTATTGGTTGATTGCGTATGTGATTCTGTGTTTATATGCATTTCTTTCTTTTCAATACACAGACTAACATATCGCTGAATTACTTGATTTCGACAAACCCATGATAGTTATTTTGACAGTGCATCTATGAAACCTTCTTGAAAAGCTCAAGAGAGCCAATCTTCCACAGATTTTGAAGTATCCCCAATCTATAGCACAAAGGAACGATGCTATGAGGTTTGGTTGAGAAATGTTTGAATTATTGGAAAAATATTAAGTATTATTTACACTTTTGAAATAGTGGTTTCGTTGGAAATGATATGAACGGTTTTGGGAAAATTGTATATTTTCAGTGGAGATTTACAAGACTCGTGAGGAGTGTGAATGTTGTTTGGAAATTATCATGATTTTGTATAAATCATTTGGGATTTTGGTTTGGCTACGATTTTGGAATATTATTCTTGTTGTTGTATTTTAATTAGAGATAATTGTTTTGGCAACCGGTGGAGGGTTGCATTGATTGCTGTAGAAACTTCATGTGGATTAGGAAAATGGAAATGTTTACAAATCATACATCGCATTGTGCATATCATGGATTTATATCATCATTGTTTGCGAAGTATGGAAGTAGTTTATGTGTTATTGATACAACACCAAAATGTGTATCCACCTTGAATTTCGAAAGTGTTCTAGTGATGAACTATAATCTCATCAAATGTTTTGGCTAGAGTACTGAGCTTTGTTTTCAAACTCAAAGTTGAATAAGAAATGGAAAGTGATTTGTAACATAGACTTGGCTGTCATGGAATTGTAATAAGATGTAAATGGAAGTGTAAGTATTGACCATCTATCAGTTGCTAATCTTTTAGGCATTGTTCATAGTCGGTTTAGTATGTTTCTACTGGGCTGTGGCTCACCCTATATGGGAACATCATTTTCAGGTACAGGTAGCATGCCACCTCCAAGGACATAGCTTGGGAGGCTAGAGACGGATAGACTTTTGTTGACTTATTTCCTTTTGATGTATTACATGTAAATTCAAGCCAAGGGCTTAATGTGTAATTGAGTTAGTACTCTCTTTTGTAACCAAGTGTTAACTTGGAAAGCTGTAAGCCCGTAGGGCATTTGCTTTTGTTGTTAACATGTAATACTTTTGTAATGAAATACTCTGATGAGTTGAAGAATGTGGATCTTTTATATATAAATGCATGTTTATATTGTTGGGTTTAATGTTATTATTTTGAGGGCGTGACAGTTCAGGTAAAAATTGCTCTCCCCTGCCCCCGACCCAAACCCAATTGGATTTTTCAAAAAATTTCCTAAATCTAATCCTACCCTATTTAACTACTCCCAAACCCATCCCATTAGAGTCAAGAAAGTCAAGGACCCAATGGATCAGGGTATTTTACCATCCCTAATTACAGACACATCTTAGCAATCCCACCAATTGAGCACGAGCAGGACCCCCCTCCCTTCTCCCGCCAACGATGCAGGCACCATTGTAGCATTGAACTTCCTCCGGAGGAGGTGGTGGCAAGACCCAGACCGAGCGTCAAACATGATCCACTACTGCCAAATTATCCCCAACAAAGGATTGACCTGAACTCACCCCCTATTCATGTACATATATTAATATTGAATTCAACAAAGACAACACCACTGTACCCACCATTAAATATTTGAATGTCCACATCTTCGAATACATGTTTTTCTTGGTGTTATTCATTCACTTTTTGCTTCCAAGATCTCTGACCCACAACCCAAAATCCAAAATCTCTAAAATTGATTTTTGTTGCTACTTTTATGATTGTTTGTATAATTTTGATAAGTATCTAAAGGTGAAGGTTAGGTGGGGAACAAGAAGATGTTCTACTAACTGTCTATGATCATGGAGCATGACATGTATTCTTGCTTCATGAGGGTTTGAATCTGATTTGACAAAATAAACACTAAAATATATATATATATATATATTTATCCTCCAAGAAGAACAAATCATCTCTCACAGATTTAGTTATTTTACCTGAGAATATTGGTCGCCTAGTTGATGAATGCTTCGTCCGGTTGACAGGAACTGTGGAAAAATACTCCATATCCTCCGATACATATCGTTCTTCTCTGTGTGTCTCTTTTGTATTTCTTCTTTCCTCTTCTCTCTCTATTTCCTCTTCTATTTTCTTTGACTTGGGAACAGGGTTGTCTCTATCAAATATTCTCTCTCCTCTCCTTCGTTGCACCAATTCTTAGACCCAATTCTTAGACCCAATTCTTACACCTGGGTCATTTCTCTTTGTTAACCTACAACAACTAGGGATGGGCGCGGATCTGTTGCGGCCACGAAACCCCCAATCCGCCATCCGTCCGCCAAATTGGCGAATTGGAGAAAATCAATCCGCATCCATCTGCCAATTTGGCGGATGCGGATGCGGATGCGGATTGGCGAATTGATGGATGGATACGAATCGGTTTGGCGGTTGAAAATTTTATGAATTTTCAACATAATTCAATTGTACACTTCCTAAAAAAAATAACATTTTCAACATAATTCAATTGAACACTTCCTAAAAAAAATAACATTTTCAACATAATTCAATTGTGCACTTCCTAAAAACACAACAAGGGCAATGCAATATTCATTCACAACAACCTAGGTAATTCAAATTACTTGTTCCATGACTCTTAGACCCTGCCATATATTCTTTCTTACAATACTTGCACATAGCCCTATCTTTCCCATCAATGCCCTTAATCTTTTCAAAATGATCCCAAGCCTTTGATGTTGTTCTCTCACTACTACTAGTTTTGGCCAGGGGTGGTCTAGGAGGGGAAGCATTAGGTTGCGTAGAGGGGTCAATAGAAGATGATTCGGGCTCAACATTAGGACTTACAAAAAATGTTGATTCGCTTGGAGGATCCATGACTAAAAGATCATCAAATATATCACCAAAAACCAATAAGAAATCATTCAAAATATGTTTTGCAAATGCACAGAAACTAGAAACATTCTCAATATCCTATACATTGATTTCATAGTTAATGTATTTACCATTTTATTTTTCTTTCTTAATGCAGATTGACAATGACTTTGTACATAATCCAGTGAGCACAACAATGAATGAGAAAGAAAAAAAAATGGAATGCTACAGGCAGGGCTATTCCTGTACCTGAAGTGTTAGTAAAATATAACTTAGTAACAACTTTAAGCCTCCCAGCCTTGCAGTAGAAAGCAATTTATTGGAAAATTTATTGTAGCTATTACAAAAGGTCAAATTGACCTTTCTAGCTAATATGATTAAGTTTTTTATGAATACTTGAAAAGGCATTCTTTCACTTGACCACAAAACATGTTACCAATTTCAGTAGTTTGCAACAAGCACAGGATCAGCTCAAACATAGTTCTGCAACCTAAGAAATAAGAGGAAAGAACAAAAGGATGCCCTTGAATACTAAAAACAATATAAAAATAAATGTTCCGACATTGCAATTGCAGAGAGTCAAAGACTACTAAAGGCAACAAATAAATTCCCAGAAAAGTCTAAAAACAGAGTGGTAAGCTTTCACCAAGGAAATTAAGGCTTAACTGTACATACACACATAATCCTTAAGCTTTCTAAGCCTAGCAAATTATCAATTCTAGAAGTATATAGCTATTTCAACATCAATAAGCTAGAGCAAGTTTTAGCCAGTAATTTTTTCTTTTGAAATCAATACAATAAAGAAAACAACAAAGAAACAGAGTTCCTAAATAGAGATGCATGAATAATTAGGTAATCTACAAACTAACCTGGCAAGAAAGGTCAAATGGAGACAATATAACCTCTGCAGCTTTCCGAATCGGCTGTGTTGTAATCTAGAAAACCCAAATTTAAGAACCGTCATAAGAACAGTCAGAAGGGGAGAGGTGAAAAAATCAAAAACCCAGAAAATGGGGAGAAGAAGAGAAAAAGAGAAGAGGTGAAGAGAAGAAGAGGAAACAAGAAGAAGAAGAATAAGAAGAAGAAGAAGAAGAAGAAGAGAGAAAGAGAGAGAGAGAGAGAGACCTCAGTGTAGATCACCGTTTAGTATTGATCAATCGGCGTTTAATATAGATCGATCGCCGTTCGGTGTAGATCGTCGGACGATGGGTAGGGTAGAATTTGAGAGAGAAGAGAGAGACGGAGTCTGTGTGTTGTGTTTTGTTTTGCAGCAATGATTCATATCACTAATTTTGGTGCTCTAATAGAGCACTAATGACATGGCAATGAACAAAAAATAAAAAATAAAAACAAACCAAGACCAAAACATCACATCATTATGCGTGGAGCCCACTACCAACTCATTAGAGCTACCTTTAGAGCTTAAAAATTAGAGCTCCAAAGCATTTTTCTTTGTTTTGTGTCTGTCTATCGAAGAAATTAGGGCAAAATGAAGCATATCAGAAAGAAAAGGGGCTGCTACTGAGGCGTAAAACAAAAATAAATAAATAAATAAAATAATGTGGCATGGTCGGGTCGGGCCAGCTGGGTAAAGTGGCGGGTGATCCGCCACCCAACCCGAACCCAAAAAAAAATACAAATACCTGGCATGCACCTGTCCGCCACTTACTACGTATCCATTATTGGTTGAATCGGGTAGGGCGGTTCTGGAGGAACGGTGGATCCGCTGCACAGCCCTAACAACAACCAAGGTCGTCTCTATCAAATATTTTCTCTCATCTTCTTTGTTGCACCAATTCATAGATCTGGGGCATTTCTCTTATTCTTTGTTAACCTACAACAACCAGTGATGTAGCACTTACTCATTATTATAGCTATAATAATTTTTTAACCAATTATATCTGTCCACGCATTTATTTTTTTATTTAAATTCCCACAACTAAGGTATGATTTAAAAAGTTCAAAAATGTTAGAGATTTTAAAAATTCTACTAAAATTTTTATTAAATATCTTACATGAGTGTGAGACCTACATGGCGTGGGTCCTACACCCATATAAGACATTTGATAGAAATTTTGGTGGAACTTTTGAGGTCTTTAGCATTACTCTAAAAAGTTATCTATTTTAGTATGTTACTTTAATTTTTAACTATTTTAATAGATTAAAATATTTATATTTGGGAAGAGGAATGCATTTGTTTTATAATCGAATGTGATGTTTGTAAGAAAAAAAGTAAAATGATTTTAGATTTAATGTGATATTCTGTCTTATTAATTATTTTAATTTATTTTGTCTTTTTGTAAATTTTAACCAAAAAAAGATAATTTTTGACTTCCCAAACACCCCTAAGTCTGAAATTGATGAGCAAATAGGCCCGGTGTATGGAGATGGTTGAGACTAATTTAGCCCATTAAAGCATAAAATAAATTAAAAAGTTAATAAGATAAAATGTCACATTTAAATTATAATTATTTTAGTTTTTCTCTCACAAAATTAGAAAAAACTAAAAATTTATTCTAAACGAAACTTTTTTAAACAAACTAAAATAGCCACAAACTAAAAAGTCAAGTTAAAAAAAGTTTATTCCAAACGAAGTTATAGTAGTCTAGCAGCAAATTCACATTGTGACTTACCTTGTTATTATTGTTATTGATTGGTTAAAGTTGTAAGACTCAATATATATATTTTTTTGTTAGAATTGTAGGAGACAACTTGACACTTGTCAAGTGATAAGTAGTGTGGAGTAATGCTTTACGACCACCAAATAATCACTCCATATCACATGGCCATATCACCATTCAATGAGCATTATTAATTTGTGGTAGAAATTACAATTTTTTTTTTGGATTAGTGAGAGATAAGGATTGGCTACTTATGTATTTGCGGCTTTTTAATTGTGACAAGTGATTGATGATTAGAAAATAAATGAGGGAGAGAGTTTACTTAGATATTTTAATAGAGTGCCACATTATTCGATCTAGGGAGTCTAATTTTTTAGTCTGAATAGCAATGCTTATATATATATATATATATAATAGTGTAATGTCTATTTTATGCATGGCTAATACATTTATATTATTAGCATTTTTTTATATTGTCATAAAATAAAATAAAAAATTATTGTGTAGCACATGAGGACAAAAGAAATTTAAAATAGTGTGAAATATTGACTAATAATAAATTGTTGACAAATCAAAGTATTAAATTATTTCAAAATTAAATATGGATCAATCTGGATAATAATGTAATAATAGTTCATCTTGATTTATTTCATTATGACTTGAAAATGTTATAATGTGCATTATAGCGATTCCAGTTTTCCCTTTCTGTATTTGTTGTATTCTGGACTTTGGTTCTGTGGAGTTAGTGGTTGTATACCTTGTTGTCATCCTTTAATTCCATATGTTTGAGTTTTAGGATGTGTTGGGCTTGTTTTAAACAGGTAGGTTGAGTTTTGGTCTCAAGTGTAGTTGCCCAGGTTTTTGGTGTTACGCTCGAGCGGGTCATTCTGCGCTCGAGCGGAGTTTGGTTTTTGGTTGTCCACTCGAGTGGGCCTTCTTGCGCTCGAGCAGGATTTACACACTCCCAGTATTTCGTGCCCCTGCAAAACTTCTGCAGGTTTGTTTTTCACGCTCGAGCGGGTTTCCTACACTCGAGCAGGTCGTGCTCGAGCGGGTATATTGGCGCTCGAGCGGGTAGCGCTTTGTCTGTGAAAGTTCTGGGAGGGGGGAATCTACGCTCGAGCGGACTGGTTTTCGCGCTCAAGCGGATGTATTTTATTCTTGTGTCTTGGCGCTCGAGCGGGCCTTCTTGCGCTCGAGCGTGTCCAGATTTTTGTGCTTGACGCTCGAGCTTTCTATTCTCCGCTCGAGCAGGTCATGCGTATATCAGTTGGCAACTGGGCATTTTTGAATCATTTTTCACTTTTCACTCTCTCTTACTTTCTCAAAATCTGATTTTGAGAGCTCCTCTCTCTAGAATCTCCCTTCTTTCTAGGGTTTGATCTAGCTAGAGTGTTCCACTCCCTTGTGGTCTTTGCAAAAAGTGTGTTGATCGTCAAGGGCTACGTTTTGATCCAAAAAGTTTGGAGTTTGGAGCACTTTAAGTTTGGTCTTCTTCTCCGTTCGAGCTCTAACTTCGAGGTAGGGATATCCTACTCCTTTAGGATGTGTTGGGCTTGTTTTGAACAGGTAGGTTGAGTTTTGGTCTCAAGTGTAGTTGCCCAGGTTTTTGGTGTTACGCTCGAGCGGAGTTTGGTTTTTGGTTGTCCGCTCGAGTGGGCCTTCTTGCGCTTGAGCGGGGTTTACACACTCCCAATATTTCGTGCCCCTGCAAAACTTCTGCAGGTGTGTTTTTCACGCTCGAGCGGGTTTTCTACACTCAAGTGGGTCGTGCTCGAGCGGGTATATTGGCGCTCGAGCGGGTAGCGCTTTGTCTGTGAAAGTTCTGGGAGGGGGGAATCTACGCTCGAGCGGACTGGTTTTCGCGCTCGAGCGGATGTATTTTATTCTTGTGTCTTGGCGCTCGAGCGGGCCTTCTTGCGCTCGAGCGTGTCCAGATTTTTGTGCTTGACGCTCGAGCGTTCTATTCTCCGCTCGAGCGGGTCATGCGTATATCGGTTGGCAACTGGGCATTTTTGAATCATTTTTCACTTTTCACTCTCTCTCTTACTTTCTCAAAATCCGATTTTCAGAGCTCCTCTCTCTAGAATCTCCCTTCTCTCTACTGATCTAGCTAGAGTGTTCCACTCCCTTGTGGTCTTTGCAAAAAGTGTGTTGATCGTCAAGGGCTACGTTTTGATCCAAAAAGTTTGGAGTTTGGAGCACTTTAAGTTTGGTCTTCTTCTCCGTTCGAGCTCTAACTTCGAGGTAGGGATATCCTACTCCATCTCATGAGCTTTGTCTTTAAATTTTGGTATTTCGATATGTTAGGGGTTGTTGGGTAATTTTGAGAAAGTTTGGGGTCTTTGTGTAATTTTTCAAAAGAGGGGTTTCCAAATTTAAAAACCCATATGTATGTAATGTGTTGGAAAATAGAGTTATATGCTGGATCATTGATGGAAATGGAGCCTTAGGGTTGATACTGGGAATACGGGGAAAAGCCCTAATTGTTATGATAAATTAGTTTGTATAATTAATTTTGGGAAATGAGAAATTGAATAGGAATTATTCAAATTGGAAAGGTATGGAATAAAATGGTGTAGTCGAATTAATTCATCGCTCACCTAGACGAAATGTTGATATTTTATCCATTTGGTGCATTTATTTTCTGTTTAGAAATATCTGCTTTGGGCTATCGGTGGAGGATAGTCTTGATTGTTGTAGACAATGAATGATGATTAGGCAAACTAAAACTAATCAATTGAAAGTTTCATTGAATATGACGGTGGAATAATACATTAACCTTATGTATTGATTGATTATGTATATGATCTGTGTTTATATACATTGTGTTGTGTGGGAGGAGATAGGGGATGTACTCCACGGTTTAGGGGAAGATAGGGGATGGACCTCTAAACGGGAAGTTGTTTGACATTGATACAACACTACAATGTGTATCATTTGTGAAGTATGGAAGTGTTTTGTTATATTGATACAGCACTACAATGTGTATCATTTGTGAGGTATGGAAGTGTTTTGTTATATTGATACAGCACCAAAATGTGTATCCATCATGAATTTCGAAAGTATTTTAGTGATGAGTTATAATCTCGTTAAATGATTTGGCCAGGTTCTGAGCCTTGTTTTCAAACTTAAAGTTGAATAAGGAATGGAAACTGAAATGTGTCATGGACATGATTGTCGTGAAACTGTAATACGACATAAGTTGGAATATAAGTGTGGACCATCTATTGAATGCTATTATTTTAGTTATTGTTTATAGTTGGTTTAGTGTATTTCTACTGGGCTGTGGCTCACCCTATATGGGACATCATTTTCAGGTATAGGTAGCATGCCACCTCCAACGACATAGCTTGGGAGGCTAGAGGCAGACAGACTGTTTTTGTTGTTTTGCTTTCTTTTGATGTATTACATGTATATCAAGCCAAGGGCTTTCTTTGTATAGAGTTAGCACTCTCTTTTTGTAACCAAGTGTTGACTTGGAAAGTTGTAAGCCCATAGGGCATTTACTTTTGTTGTCAACATGTAATACATTTTGTAATGATTACTCTGATGGAATATATTTATGCTTTATTCTCTTTTGT